GCACTTTTACTGTCCTAAAACGTGATGACAGACACAAAAAAAATAAAAAAAAAACACACATCATTGTAAAATCAATACATTCATCGTTTCACTCAGAATCTAAAACAGATTCATCTATCTTGGCCCATACTAATTAATGTGAATATTTAATGATCGATTATTATTTATTTTTATTATTATTATTATTATTATTCACTCACAAATCTATTGTCTGGATAAAAACAATACTACAAACAATTATCCATCGATCTGTCGAATAAAAATATAAAAAAAATAATAAAACTATCAATAATAAATAATTAGTACCATTCAAAAGAAGTTTAACTTCCCGCGCGCGTACTGGTAACACACATACTTTTTTTTTTTTTGCTAAGAATGTTGAGAAAAATATTTTTTCTTGATCAACAATTTTGAAAGTTAAAAAAAAAAGGTTCCTCATCAGTTTTATATTAATTTAAAAAATATTGAAAATACAGAGGCACATGCATTATATTTATAAGAATTTAGAATGTTGGTGTATGCAATAGTAATACTTGATTTTTCATTCCCTTGAATTTGGGATGCAATCAACGGTTTCAAATGGAATAAGAAATTGAAAAAATTAAAAAAAAAAATGTATATTAATAATAGTAATAATTACTACCAATTAGAGAGATTTCGTGTGATTGTCGTGTTATTTTAAAAAGTTTACTCCCAATGAACGTAGATACATATCCCATATAATCTATTGCAATAGAGGAGACTTTTAAAATGTTTGCGATTCTTGTGTTTAATTTTGTTTGGTCTCCATACTATATTCAATTTTGTACGTTTCTAATAGAAAATTAATGTACCTAACATAAAATTCTGATCATCATGTATAATGTATAATATTATATTGTGTAAGATTGCTATGTTTGCTGTGTAACAATCCTATGCCCATTCAGTTTGATGTTTTTTTTTGAAAATATTATGATTTAGTGTTAAGAATTATAATAATACCATAAGTCATAATATACTTCTCGATATGACAATAACATAATAACAGCGTAGGTATATTATGAAACAATAGCTATAGTATAGACATCGTCGATTATATCCTTCGACTGTATATTTTCTAAGAGCTTGGTTAGGTATTATTTTCTTTAATGCTTTAAGCATTGCATAACTTTTTGACCACCCAACATTTTGTTTGGATCAATTTTTCAATTTATAATGAAATTTAATTTTTTGCTTCTTATCACGAGCAGACCTTTAGAGCTGCTATATCGTATTAAAATTTGCCACAATTATACCTTGTATAATACCTAGTACATCAGCCCAAAAAAAAACGAAAAAATTCACTTTTTATTCTTCACTTAGATGAATTAATGATCATTATATTATTTATATTTTTATTTTAAACGTCTATTCGTCATAATACGTCATAATAATAATAATAATCATAATACATAGGTAATTTATATAAAAAACAGTTTCCAAAAAAGACAAAAGATATTGTAATATTATCAGAGATACCTATCACGGAAAAAAAATTTACTATAATATTATAGTTGAACAAATTATAGCAAATATAATAATACTATATAATACTATTTAATAGGTAAAATTACTAAAATGATTTACTTAATTATGACTATGTAAATATAGTTATTTTTATGGTAATGTTTACTATATTTAATAGTTGATGCAGATTTTAATGGGAAATTATGCTTATTAATGTCCTTATTTCCTACACATAAAATCAAATAAGATAAAATATTATGATATTTTATATCATATTGATTATATTATATAATAAAAAGTAACTATTAAACAAGGTGGATTAGTGAGATTATGACTAAAATTAGTTTGGCGCTCCCGTGAGTGGCGAAAAATATGTTTAAAAATTAAGTAAGAATATCATGGCATTTATAATTAACACATCAGTTCATTTTACATTTTATTTGTGCATTTAAAATTTACCATTTTTTTTATTATCATTAATGTTAGAATGTACAGGCACGGATATAAGGGGCTATGTGATCTGAAGGCCACCACTCCTAAGCCTTATTACTAATAAGTCATTAAGTACTTAAAATATTTCAAAAATTACCTTAATTTTCAGTTTATTAACCATTGTAATGAGGTTAGAGGAGCAATAAACTACACTTAAAACATATTATTGAGTGTTGAAATTTAGGAGTGATAATAGAACATTTGTTATCTAGCCAACATATTCACATCGATTATCTATTTTACTAACAATGATATTTTCTTTATTACTATTAAGAAGGCTTGACGCATGTAGTAGGTACCTGTTATAATTAAAAATACCGTTTTGTTTTGTTTGTAATAAAAGATAATAATAAATGAATATTTTATAATTAACTAGGCACTTCGTTTCCCTTTAAATTTACCAACTCTATATAACTCAAACTTTGGTCAATTCGTTATTTAATATTATTTAGGTGTATAGTGTTCAAAACTTATCTTAATTTTTCCGCTGTCCAGAAAAAAAATTCTGATTTTTCAACCACTTTTATGTGTAATATACTGTGGAAGACATGTCGGTTGAAGTTTAAATTAGATTTTAACGTATGGCCATCTCGACCGGCTTTATCCGTGAGATTCGCAGCTGTATATTATAAAATAGACAATCTACCTGTGGTAGATCGTGGACCCCTAAACTATACACGGAAGTGTAGAGTTTAACTTAAAAGTATCAAAGTTATACCAAGTTTGTTGATTTTACTTAATTCAAGCTACGGAATATTAACATAATCAATTAATACAAAGTCCTAACATAACTTAACCTTAAAAAAATCCTATGAATAGAAAAAATCAAACATTCGTATGTATAGATAACGAAGAAAAATAAAAAATAAAAAAAACAATGTAAAAACCACGGAACAATTTGGTCTATCGAAACCGTGGTTCGAACTTGAGACATTCTGTACTAAAATACATAGGAGTGCCACTGAGCCAACATTAATAATAATAATTATAACTAAAACCCTTAGATCATATACTATGGATTGAGCCACAGCATATTAAATCAATACAAAAAAACGTTACCGATATCAGCGACGAGTCACCGAATTAGGTGGTCGATATGCGCATGCCCAACGTGACTTATCCCATATTTATCCCACAGATACCTATTGTACATATGGATAATTATGCGAGGAGTTGCATTGTGCTTGAACACATCGATCATCTAATTCGGTGACTCGTTATATCGGCAACAAAATCATACGCTGTGGCTCCATCCATGGTATGTGATCTAAGCTAAGACCACAGATATATACTACTATATATATTATAGTATATAACTGTGATTAAAACCAATAGTAGCCATTTAAAAATAAAAATGTCTTGTTGTGAATGTCTTTGAATCATAGATTTCATTTATGTTAAAATAATCTGATAAAATATTTAACTTAGCTTGATTTTACTATACATTTTTAGCAGATTATTTTAACATAAATTATATAATATAAAGTTCAAAGACTTAGCCACCTTTAAAATTATATCACAACTTTTAGAGACTTTTTTAGACGAAGTATGGCAGAGTGTTTTTGTTGTTATATATTACATGAGGACGGTAATATCTACATTGTCATACCTATTGATTTCGTAACCTGTGAGTTATTAAATATTAGTTGAACATTCAACATAATTTCTTTTCGATATTGAATACATATTACATACTATTGAAAACTTGGCTTCAGTTGAAAGTTAAAATAGATTGGGTGATTTTAAACAAAGATCAAATATCGATTATATATTTCCCTTGAGATAAAGATTTTTCATAACTCTTCTGGTAGGCATTTGTTTTGATTGAAAAAAGTAGTACACATACACACTCCGTGCATAAAAATGTTTTGGCAGATTAGTGTGATATATAATATAAGTAGGGGTCTGAAATTGAAACATTTCAAAATTTAAAATTTCACACTTCTTGAAATATTTTTTTTTTTTTTTTTTTATGTATTTGGTTATTGATGACTAAAAATGATTATTGGTTGCATACAGCTAATATCGATGGTGAATCACTTATCAACCAAGGTGATAGAGTTACTATTTGTTAAAGCCTTAAAGGTTATAAATTGGGTTTAAATGGTATTATATCATTGGTTAATTTATTATTTATCAATTATTCGTATTGGCTATTGGTTATTAGTACAATAAACCTACTTTTAAAAATGCTCTTTTGCTGTAAGTCTATGACTTTAAACTTTATTATTATAAACAATTTTTTTATACCTAAATTAAATATTTGATAACATTTAAAACCCTTAATATAAGCATACAACCTATGCGGGCTATAGTAAAGTTGGTGACATGGTGAAACACAATTTTATTGAAGATATAACTTTTTAACAACATGATTGAGCATAACATATTGAATGCTATACCCTGTTCCAAAAGAGAACGGTCACTTATCTCATTGACGGCTGCGGCAGTGCAATGGCCAAACTCTTCCCCAAAATTGCTAACCGACGATAGTCGGGTCTTCAAGAAACGTCGGCTAGCAAGGTGTGGGAAGTTTGGCCTTTGCACGGCCGCAGCCGTCAGTTTTAAGCTCTGAAAGTGGCCGTTCTCTTTTGGAACAGGGTATACCTTACCACATTCAAACCAAAATGTTGTGATTAATTGAAAACGAAAATGTTGAAAATATTGTGACCATGACGTGTTACTCCCATTTCTCGTTGAATTTAATAGAGTTTTTAGGCTAGAAATAAACGTTAAGCTGTCGACCATACTAAATTTTGCTAATACCTTATGTTGATTCTTTAATATAATATGAAAATACTTATTATAATTAATAGATTTTTTTTTAGAGCAATGTGACTGCACTAATTTTATTATAGTCGAGTTATTTTAATAATATTATTATAATACTACTTCACACGTAGTATTCTATTTGTAAGTGTTATGGTATTATATTTTAATATTTATTAAGTTTTTATTCAATAATCTTATAGAAAATGATTTAAATACATAAGTGTTGTAGGTACATTTTCCTATTTTTTAATTTAATTTTCAGGTATGGTATCTTCCCCGTTTAGGTCCACAAATATTGGGCCAGTTTTGATAGTATCAAACAATATTTCACATACATCCTGCGGATTCAGAATCTCACCCATATGACGTATCTCCTGATGCTTAGTCAGATTACATTTTTTTGTATACGATTTCTCACATACATCACACGGATACCGTTTGTTACCAGTGTGCACCCACTGGTGTTCTTGCAGATTATACTCTCGTGTGAATGACTTGTCACATAGGTCACATGGGTATGGTCTCATAGTACTGTGAGTCAACGAGTGCTTTGTCAGACTGCTGCTACTTATGTATGACATATTGCATACGTTACACAGCCATGGTCTCGTGTGTATTTTCTGGTGTTCTATCAGCTTGCAATTTTGTTTGAATGATTTGTCACATAGGTCACATAGATATGGTCGCACATTCGTGTGAGTCAACTTGTGCTTTGCCAGACCACTGCTACATGTGAAAGACTTATAACATACGTTACACAGGTATGGTCTCTCACCTGTGTGTATCCGCTGGTGATCGGTCAGATTGTACTTTTTTTTGAACGACTTGTCACATACATTACACAGGTACGGTCGATCGACTGTGTGTGTATTTTGGCTACCAGCAAGATTACTCATTGTATTGTCATTCATCCTATGTAAATGTAATCATTTGTGTTTTTAGTTGTCACAGGAACACTACATATTATTTTCAAAATAACTAATAATTTGATAATAGGCGTACAATGTTTAACTTTATTATGTTGTATTATTTCCTGTATCATAAATACACGTATTTATTTTAAGTAGAACAACGTGGTTACAGGTCGATTTAAATCTATTATTTTTTTTTAGCCAGTGTCTAGCATGATTTTTCGACAATTAAAAAGAATATGTAGTAAGGTTTATATATTATTTAATGAAAAACTTTTATTTTAGAAATAAATATGGTTATGGCAGTTAAGGTGGGTCCCCAGTGACAAGGGAGATGAGACTTTCGAATGGTTCCCTGGCTTCAAAAGTCACTTGGCGCGTATGTCATGCATTATGGATCACTACATGAGCCAGCTGATGTCTGGCTACGGGAACTTAAACAAGTCGCTTCTCCAGTTTAAACTTAGAGGTGATGCAATTTTCCGATGCGGTGTGCCAGAGCATTTGCTGCGAGATTGCCCCCTTTTCGATCACGAAAGAGAAGAAATCAATCTCAGAGTGCAAGCGGCCAGTGAGAATTGGCCATGTGACAATGAGACCTAAGACATGTTCCTTGCACTTCTTAAATTCGCCCACGAAGCGCGACCTCGGTAGGCGCGTACTGGCGATATAAGTAAGATTTCGGCGTGGGACTCACTCTGGCAACTTGACAGAAGTTGTAAAGGGAAAAGGCCTTTCTATTCGCACTTGAAAAGTTGGCCCGAGTGAGCATTAGAAAAATTGGAAAGCTTGCGAATACCAGCAGGAGGGGCTTGGGCGAAACGAAACAGAAGGAATGGAAAAAGCAACTGCGATCGGGAATCTCACATAAACCATCCACAGACCCCCTTGTACACGCTGGTATGTTTTCCCTCATAAGTCGGGATACGTCTTAAACAATCCCGAGGTCATTGATGATTGGAAACTCCTGCTGTGAAACCAGGAATAAACATCGGTGTAGGAACGGAAAATCACCTCTGCAAAGAGAAAAACCATACCACTTCTCATAAATGGGTGGTGTTGTGGCTGCGAACGGTTCCTATCCCGAAGTTGAGCTAGCGGAATTGGAAGTTGTGAGAACCAGGGTAACAGATCCCAAATCTCAGAGATAGCCCTGTCACAGATGTAGTGAGTGAAAACTCGAGAAGAATGACCTTCGACTTGCTAAGAGACCTGCGTCCGGCCTTCGCACGGGTTAGGTAGAGCCGAATCCACCTGAAGTGCCTGATGTGGATGGCATCGCAGTGGCAGTGTTAGTGCCGAACTAGTTAGAAGAAAGTGGTGTCTGTGGACTTCAGAACTCCCGGCAGGTCTGGCGGTGACACAGGAAACTCAACTATCGACCATCGTGCAGTCACATGTTTGGCACCCGAGCACCCTTCATGAGTTTCTCAATGGAGAGATAAATTGGTCTCCGAGAAGGTTTTGAAGCCCTTTGTACCCCTAATATATGGATAAAGGCCTAATACGCCGACGGGTTGTGAATCTTTTTCACCTTCGTCACACAATGTTTTATGTGTCTCCGAGAAGTGTGTTTGCTGACAGCGACGCATTGCGGGTTATCTAGCAGAATTTACATTCTGATCGACATCGTTAACGTCTGGACTAACCTTCCAAATGCCGATAACACCGCGTCATCAATCGAATCGACAAAGTCCGCTTCACTAATCAGAAATCTCTGTTTCAGGACAACCAAGATTAGGTGAGTAGACTTCCCTTAATTTAAGCCTATCCTAACCTATTCTTGTATATTAATGCTATGATCAACAGCTCAAGGTAGACGCCCGTGTTCGACGAACCTGCGTAGGCCTTATTATAAATATTTTAATAGAAATAAACGTAATTTCATTATCGGAATATAACTCCAATTATTGATACAATTAATTTTTTTTTCTTCTCCCTACAGTCATCTACAATCTGCCTCATATAGAATATCAGTTCTATCATGGTTCTTTCCCACTAAACATTTGATGTTGCCTAACATCTCTGCGATGTATGTTTTGGGTTGCATACGGAACATCACATTTCTATGTTTATAGGGCATTTTATGGATGTTTTCCTTTAGTTGTCACTTAACTATAAATGTATAACATACCAACAACGTTTCAAACTTACCTTTTACGGAACATCGCATTTCAATGTAAATAGGTTGTTCTCGGGATGTATATATATTAAACTATTATATATTATTATATCGGCTGTCGCCCGAGTAGGATGGTGGGGAGGGGGTTCTACGAACAACATAGCTATTTCTACTTTATTATTTATTATTAGACATTATAATATATTTATAATATTATTTGGGTTTTCTATGACGTTATTATCAGTTCATTGGTGACTATAATAACTATTGTATATATATATATAGTGGGTTTACCGGTGCTGCCCGACCGGCCGCTATACGTCCGCACTCCGCCGTCGACACTCGAGTACTCGACTATCTATAATACTCGCTTGATTGAGCTCGTGCCTCGTACCAGTGTTTGTTTTGTATTATACAATTTTGCATTATTGCAATTTGCAATTATTGCATTTTTTCTTTATAGTTTGTTATTTTATTTGTTCAGTCTTCAGAGGCCAGTCGCCAGTGTTAAATAGTAATATAGTATACATAAATATAATAATATCAACATGTCTACGAAACAATCGCTAAAGAACCGTAAAGTAAGTTTTTATATTATTTAATTATGTAGGTAATTTAAATTTAATAACATAAGTTTTTTTACCATTACCACTTAGAACCGGAAGTATAATAAGCGATGGGTCATTGTTTCCTTTACGGAATCAAACGATTACAGTGTTGTGCCTGTTAATTGGCTAATTTTACCACCAACATTGGAGCTAACCGCGGACAACATTTCAATAGTTGAACTTTGTCGATGGCCTCCATTTAATGTAACGAGCATTGAACTAACAAACGCGGATGATCCAGAAGATTTATGGGGCTTATTCAAAATTAAAATCTTGTCCAGTAAAATATATGGTAGGTACTTTATAAAAAGTTTTAAAACAATAAGTTCGATTAATAAGTAATGCAAGTCAAATAAACTTGAAACCTACTTGAAATTACTTCATAATTCAAATTGTACCTAATTGTATTCGTTTACTTAGTCAATTTCAAAGAAGCCTGGCATCAACGTGTGGAGATTGAAAGTTCTGCTACAGAAAATGAACCTGAAGTACTCAAAAAGAAAAAGAAAAACCGCCAAAGAAGTTCATCTGAAGATGACGACAGTGACTTTGAAGGTATGCCTACCAGTGACGTCATTTGGGGGAGGGCAACTGGGGCATTTGCCCCGGTCTAGTATTTACATCAACCTTAAGTCGGCACATTTACCACACGCTCCCCCCCCTTTTAACACTTTGGTTCTACGCTATGAGAATCTGAGTGAAAAAAATGTTGAGTCGGATAAGTAGTGAAAAATTGCCCTAGTCTAATTAAAACTGAAATGACGCCACTGATGCCTACTATTTTTTATACTTCTTTAAAAATTAGGTATTAATTTATTTTTATTTAGATTGTAGCATATCAGTAACACCTATCAGCAAAAAACTAAAAAAAGATGTGCCGTTAACATATACTGAATTGCTGGTGAGGAATTCTGATGAAGAATTCAATTGTGAACTAGATTCTGTATTACCACTGGCAGTAGAAATTGCAGCTAGTTCCTCAGTATCATACATAATTAATGATGACATACATACGGTAATACAAATTTAATTTTTAATTAGGTATTTAAGCACTGCAATAGTTAAATTTTAAAAAGTTAAAAATAAAATAGTATAGGTACTATGTTTTAATATAATATAGAATATACAATATCATTCCATCAATTTAAATTTATAAAATATTAAGTACCATAAAAAATTAACAATTGAACTAAATTTATTTTCATTTTGATGCGGAAATTCATATTTAATTGATAGCAGACAACGTCTCAGGTTAAAAATACTGATGAAATACAATTATATGAACCATATGAACCATTTATTGTTCCTAATACCTCATACAGTACAACCAGTGAGTATACTTACTTAGTATTTTATCTGAATTACCCATATTTTTGAATTAACTACTTCAATATTATTAATTTAAAATCAGTACAAATATTTTTTTATAATTTTTTTATTACATAGGTACTGGTAGTTTAAATCAGAAAATTCTTGATATTTTAACTAATATGCAATTGGAACAAGTCAACATTAAAAAAGAGTTAGTGGCATCAAATTTAATTTTGAATCGATTACTTACAAAAGTTGAAGTTTTGGAAACTAATTCAAAAAACAATAGTTTAAACTCTGCGATGGCCAACCAGTATATTGATTCAAATTTTCTTTCATTATTCCCAATTAAAGATAAAGATGAATTTTTATCAGTTGAATCAAACATAGTAAATGAAGTGGACTTTGTGTTGAAACTAGTATGTTATCTTTATAAAAAAACTTATTTAAACTTGGAAAATTTGCTTTCAATTTATCCTTATATTATTGTAAATAATTTTAGTAATCATTCATTAAAAGTATTGGTGGATGTGGACTAAAAAATAATATTACAAGGGTGTTACAAAAAATATTTAGCGATGAATTTGCTGTTATCTCTACTTGGACTGGACGTGGTAAACATATATCCATTACAATAGGAAGTTCTGAAGTGATAAAACTAATAAAAAGTTATTTAATTTACTATATTATAAATCAATTACATATAAACATACATTATAATATACAGAAACATTATGATTTTTTTTAGGGTTTATTAAAGCCAATTCCAATGATGTGTTAACGGATTCAGAATTTGAAATCACTGTTGCAAATTGGCTTAGACATGCAAACACTCGTTTGAGTAGAGCAAAATAAGTTTAATTTTCAAAAGTTAGTATTAAGTTATTTTGAATATATTGAATTTTGTATGTAAGAATGCAAATATAGGTATAGGTATTGTAGTTAGAATGTAGATACATTTTAATTAATTTTGTAGTTAAATAAAAAAGTAATTAAATATTTAAAAAAATCTTATTTAAAGTTTAACATAACATTAAAATTAAAATGATTTTTCCACGGAGAAACCAATGTTTATTATCACCTCTAGGTAGAAGACGTGATTTCTTTGACTGCTTATATCTACATAAACTATTGAATAGGACTGTCAATTGTACTCTCTGCCCCCGCAGGCATTACTATAAATAAAATAATAATTCTCGTTTAATATAATATAATATGTAACAAACAAATTAATATAATATTAATACTGGTTTTCAATTCTTATTTTTTTTGTGGTGCATTCAATTTAACTTTTTTAGATTGAATTACTTTTAACCCCTATTTGTGGACTAATTATTTTATTTTTATTTTTTCAGATTAGCAGTTCAAAGAAAAAAGATTTATCCCTCATATCAACAAAATATTTTAGAAGAGTACTAAAAGCTGAACAACAAAAAGTAAATTTGAATGTTACGTCCATAGTAAATAGTAATAGTATAAATTGTGTTAAGACAAACATTACAAACAATGATTTACCACTAAAATTATCAGTATCCGTGAAAGATCCCATGATGCCTGAATGTTTGTTAAATACATTAAATTTTAAAACGGTCCAATCCAATAACTTTAATTTGGGTGTTGATGCTTTTAATGATCCACCTATAACCAATCATGACTCTATGGGCCCTATGTTAGAAGTTGATGTACAGAAAAATGTATGTATAACAGATAAATTGCGTCTATTAATTATTAAACACAAAGTTTCACATAATTTTTGTAACAGCTTGCTTCAGTTATTGAAAAGTGAAGGTTTAGACGTTCCAAAAGATATTAGGACTTTGATGAAAACTCCTAAAGTTCATGATATTGTTGATATTTCTGGTGGTTCCTACATACATTTAGGTCTAAGAAATATGCTACTACCTATTTTAATTAAAAATAATGCTCAAATATATATTAAATCCCATGTATTAGAGATAGGTCTCAATATAGATGGACTTCCTGTATCTAAAAGTTCTAAAAGTCAAATTTGGCCAGCATTAATATCAATTTTAAATTTTAAAGAGCTAAAAGAAAATGTTATACCTATAGGCATTTTCCATGGATTTCAAAAACCCCTTTCTATTGAAGAATTCTTAAATCCATTAATTATAGATTTATTGGAGTTAATAGATAATGGGTTGACTGTAAATGGGTTGTTTTTTACTGTAAATATTTCAAATGTGTCATGTGATAGCCCAGCAAAGGCGTTTTTACTTAATGTTAAGGGTCATAATGCATATTTTGGCTGTACATTATGTATAGAGGAAGGTACATATTTGGAACATCGTATGACTTATCCTGGTTTAGATGCTACGTTAAGAACTGATGAATCTTTCAGAAGTAAAAAAGATGAGGATTACCATAAAGGCAATAGTCCTTTAGTTCGTTTACCAATTAATATAATCAATACAGTTGTGTTAGATTACATGCATAATGTATGCCTAGGTGTAGTTAAAAAATTAGTTGAATTTTGGGTGAAAGGTAATAAGCAAGTAAGATTGGAAAAAGATAAAAAAGAAAAAATAAATAATGAGTTAAAAAAATTAAGACCTTATGTACCTTCGGAGATATGTCGCTTACCCAGGGGGCTGGATGAAATTGAACACTATAAAGCCACAGAACTTAGAACTTTTTTATTGTATACCGGTCAAATAGTTCTAAAGGGTAACTTAAAAAAAAAGTTTTACTATCATTTCCTATTGTTGGTTTATGCAATTAGAATTTTAATTTGTTCTGAAACCTATTCTAAGTATAATGAATTGTCAACTCAGTTTCTAAAGAAATTTGTTGATGATTATTCCGCATTATATGGTTCTCATTACATTTCTTATAATGTACATAGTTTAATTCACTTGCCATTTTATGTTCTTATTCATGGTCCATTAGACAATTTTAGTTGTTTTCGTTATGAAAATTATTTACAAGAAATAAAAAAATCTATCAAGTCAATCAAATATCCTCTTCAAGAAATCTTCAATAGAATAGTAGAAAAACAAAAAATGTATGATACACTTCCTGCTCAATTACATAAACAATATCCTGTCTTAAGCAATGAAATAATACACAGTAATCCTTCACCTCTCTTTAATATAAATGATAAACTTTTTGAAAAAATCACTTTAGAACAAACAAATACAATTATCAATGTTCTTAAAGAAAAAGATAGATACATAATGCTTACTAATAACACTCTTGTTATGGTTCAGCATATTGTTCAACCGAAAAATAAACCTCCTAATTTAATTGTAAAACAGTTCATCAGCTGTTCTGAATTTACTAATACACCAGAATCTTCATTCAAAATCGGGGTTTACATGGTTGACACTTCTAAAATGTCTGAATTATATTGTATTAATTTAACTGATATAAAATACAAATGTTTTTTTATTAGTCTATCCGACAATTTGGCATTAATCTCAACACTTTGTCATTCAGAGACTTAATAGCTTGTACCTTCAGGCTACAATTACACACTATTAAGTCATTCAAAAAAATTATATTCTTTTGTATGTATTATTTAACATTTATGTTATTTTTTAAATAAATTTTGTAACTGTATAGGTACCTATTATTTTATAATAATTGAATGTACTATACTATATATTATTATATTATGTGTATACAATTTTTTATATAAGAATTGATTGTTTTTTTTTATTTATATATAATTTTTAATAGGTATTCAATCATTTTATTTCATTTTATATTAATCTAATAATATTATTATAATATATAACTTTGAATGATTTAAATCTGTTAATTTGCAAACAAATTGTAATCTTTAGTTTGTATTGTATCATTATTTATGTTATTTTGTAAATACATTTTTCACTTATATACCTATTCAAATAAATAAATTGGAGTTACTAAATTATAATGTTGTTTTTTTTTTTAATTTTCAATATTTAATTAGGTGGTAAATATTGATTCATAGAAATTTATAATTTATGCATAGGTAATACAGGTATTATATTATAAATAATCCATATGTATAATATTAAAAAAAAATTATCAGCATTGTATATTTTTAAACAACTATACAACAATAGGATCAAACATCGCAGTGATGTTTTTAATAACATCACATTGAGACAGCTATGAAACATCGGTGATGTTTCATAGACGTTCTAATTTAATGTGGACGGAATATCGTGTTTGATTGTTGTAGAGATGTTACAAAGAGATGTTCCGTATATGTCTTATTTGTGACATCATTGCGGTACAAATACGGTCCCAGGGATGTTTTAAATACACTTATGGAACGCAATTTGTAATGTTCCATGTTTCATTGCAACAGCCTAGAATGTGGTACAAATTATTGCACAGTGGGTTCTTTAGTAAATCTAAATTCCTTTAAAACTTCTTTATTATATTTTCAATAATCTTTCCCCAAATTATCTTACTTTCATTAAAAATCCTTACATTAAATATGAAATGATAGCTATCAAAGACGAATTCAGGTATGTAGTTTGAAGTTTTATTTGGCCTAATGATTTTTAATGTTATATTTAACAATGATTAGTAACATTAAACAAAATGTAAAACATTTTATTATTATGGAATCATCTCATTAAATTAATTAGGTATTAAACCATTTTGCCAAGTTTAGAATAAAAATAATTTCATCATTTATTACTAAAAAAGAACTTGAAAATTAATTGGTCCAGAGTTCTAGACTCTAGAACTTAAACTTTAAAAAAAATCAAACTTCAAAAGGTAGCTTATCGAAAAAAAATATTTTAAGTTTTATTTAGAGTCCAAAGATGTGCGTTAGAAGATCTAAAATCATAACTTCTAACTTTGAATTACTGCGTACGTGTTAATTTTTGATTTTTGAAAATTTCTTGACACCAAAAAGTGGTTAATAATAAATATAATATATACATAAACATAAATATATCATATTGTTATCGTACTATAAAGTACTATATACTAATATGTACTATGTAGTACATACCTATTATAAAAAAAGCGTTTTGTCGTATAATGTCCGATGCAAAATAAGATCGTCGGGTTTCTGTCATCTGACTTGTATAATGATAAATAATATTATCTAGACCGTATAAGGTATACAACAATTAATAATTACATCGTACTATTTTTTTCCATCATTCCATCCATCGCCTGCTCGCTCGTTATCGATTCAAAATATTATTATACGTCATTGAAACGTGACACAACTGCCACAGCGTTCCATGTGTATGCTTATTATAAATGGATAATACAATACACGTCTTAGTATGTGAAATGTTAATCGATACGACGTGTGTTCTCATTTAATCGGCTCGACAATAACAACAGTCGCGTACGTATATCGGGCCCAAATCGATACGTCACAACTCACAACCATTAATGGAAATATTGAATGGTTTTCATTTTTTTTTCACAATATTATTTGTTACGATAACGTTTAAATTTACATAATATAATGCCTAATATAATATGTAATAATAGATAGTTGGTACCTATAAAGCTGTGAGTGCC